CCCCAAAACCCCAAAACCCCAAAACCCCAAAACCCCTCTGTAAAAATATAATTGAAAATGTATTTTTCCAAAAAGTAAGTCTCCCTCTTCTCCCCTTTAAACTCCACTCTAATCCCCCTACCCAATACTCCTCTCCTTCAAGAACTCATAAACTAAATTTTAGGAAGCACCAGGATGAAAAATTAGTAGATCTGAGAGGCAGAAACTGCCTTAGAGGCCACCAATTGGAAATTATAGGGTGAAGAAGGGATAATGAAATTTCTAAAGGATTAGGAAAACTGAAAGCACCTAAACTCAGGTAATCTCCACCTTCAAACAAATTCAACCCGTTTATCTCACCATTTTTACCCATCTAAAACCCCCACTCTAGACTCAAGCCAATATTCAAGAAAAACAATGAATTTTTAACCCACAACAGTAAGTCTACTAAAGTCTCTTTGTACAACAAATTTCTAAGAAATCATGGATCAACCATCTTAAGCCTATGCATAATTATAGAATAAAAATGACCAAGATTCATTAATAAATCTTCCGACCTTAAGCCTGGATAAAAGAATTGCAATATCTTTTAATGACAATACGAGGTAGGAATATTTCAGTGAATTTTAGAGCCATGACACTCAGAAATAGCTTTGCTCCTGAAAAGACTAAAACCATGCCGAGAAAGTTAGGCAAAAGACATCTGAAGAACTATAAGAGTTTAGACACCTTGCGAGGGGCTTTTGAAAAATCCTCCAGTTTCTCTTCCCAGATAGAGGGCAAATAAAATAAGGTATGTACCAAATGGTTTATTCATAGATCAAATAACTTTTCTCTACCAAATCTTAAGGGAATTCAAAAGCATGAAATTGAGTCAAAAATTGCTGATAAAAAGGACGAACCAATGAGAGCGCATTTTGATAAAGCTAATAGTAAGTGTCAAACATTTGAGCCAACTTTGAGCGGGTCCCTTGTAGGTTATTTATGGACTAGAGTTATCTCATAATTCTTTATGTAGAATTCGGCAAGAAGATATATTCACAGATTTTTGAGAGGTAAGGACACTTTATTTATCCCTATAGCGATTCATCAAATTTCCTCTCCAATAGTTTAAAATAATCTGAAAATCAATGACAATCACAAGTATCTAAGAGGCATGATGAAGAACTTTAAGAGTATTCAAACGAAGGTTGATAACCAGCCAACTATTGGTAATCTTGGAGTAAATATAACTTAGATCCTGTCCCAAACCTCTCAGTTCGCTGACCTGACAACAAACTGATAGATGAAATTAAGGAACGAAATATAAAACTTGATATCATTGATAAAATTCAGATTTCTAAAATAAAGCAAAACCTGTATATTGACAACAGGCAGAAATCCTTAGACACTTTTATTCAACAAATTAAGAAGTACTCTTCTGAATCATGGGTATGCATCAAAGAAATATTGTTACTCGCAAACAGATGTGGGCTGAAGTTAGACCAACGTTCTTTTAATGGATTTCTTATGAGGAAAAGTCTGGTTCCCGGAAAATTCCCAGGAAATCTTATAGAGAAATACATTGTTCCAATCTTTGAAGCCCCTAATGTTGAGCCTCAGAAATCATCAGATAGTGCAAGCTTTAATAAAATAAAAATGAAAAAGAAAGCTGGCTATAAAGAGGGAAAGAAGAGTAAATCAAAACTTGGTGATTACTTGCATCCTAACTCTCAAATAGAAAGTAAGGGTTTTGCCATAATTTATAGGGATGAAAGAAGAAAAAGATAAGAAAAGGACGATACAAACTGAAAAGCTTATCTTCAAAATTAGCGAAGCTTTGTTCAAGCATGGCCTCACGATCACAAAATGGCTCAATAAAGGTAAGAGTGTAATTTTAATTTTAAAGGGATTAAAGAAAATCCAAAAACTTTGATCAGAGACCGAGTTATTGACGGCCACGAATACCAGCTTATTAAGAGAGACAACTTCATAGATGCTCTGGAAGAGATAGGCATTCATACAACCCTGAGAGATAAAGATAACCTCAAGCAGCTCCTAGGCACAACTTTCTTAGATTTCATTGACCTAAAAATTGTGATCAATATATTCTCAAAACTTGGAATAAATGAAGATATTCCGAATTCTACAAAAATGCTGAATTTCGAGATCTTTAATGGAGAATGCATCAGGATATACAATCGGATCATCCAATGAATGGAAAAAGAAAATGTTAAAGATGTTGATGACTGGCTGCCTCAAGAGATTATTGAACCGTTTCAAGTGGTTTCTCGTGATAAAGAGCATCAAGTTGGAACAATTTATGTAGACAAATTCAAGAAATTTCTCTCAGAAAAGAAGATTATTTCCAATGGTCAAGAACTTAATGAATTTTTCGTTGAGTTCCTTGAGCTATCACCCTATCATGACCACTTAATCATGGTCAAGAAGCTTAAGAAGTCACTTGAGATCGTAAGTTAAACCTTTAATTTTAGGTTAAAAACTGAGAATATTACAGAAACTTTGGAACAGCTAAAAGGACAGGCATTATTCACAGAAAATGTGACATTCACAGGCTATTCAAAGGACTCAAAATGACTGAAGAAGAGTTTATGGTCATGAAGCAAAACCTCAAGGACATTGATGTTCGGAAGAACCAGCTTGAAGCTCTTAGAAAGATTGTTGCGATGTGGAAAAAGAATATTATGAGAAGAAATTCAATCCAAGATTATGTAGAGAAAGTATTTTTCATCCTCATTGATTTTATTTTAGGCACGATCTAAATTTAAGCAAGTATTAACCAAAAATAAAGTAATCAATCAATTCAAATTGGCTTTGGACAAATCAGAAAAGAAAAAGGCCGAAAGTCCTGACAATAATCTCAAGCCACGTAGATATTCTCTTAAAAAGAGAAGCTCAAAGAAAGAAGAAAGAAGGGATTCAATATTTAGTATAGATTCACAAAAGAGTGAATATATGGACTCTGTTGCAGGGTTTAGCCAGATAGGCTTTAAGGTATGTGAAATTTTTCCAAAATGACCAAATAAGCTTACCTTCTTGTTTAGGGATACTCAATAGACTTCCTCAGAAAAAGGTTTGGACTCAGCTAACTATTCAAAAGATATCATAGTCAAGTTTCAATCTATTTCTGGAATTAAGGGGTTTTGGGGTTTTGGGGTTTTGGGGTTTTGGGG